GACGGCGACGAAGGCGACGACGACGACGAGGGCGACGACGACGACGAGGGCGACGGCGACGGCGACGACGACGACGATGGCTTCACTACGTTGTCGAGTGAGTAAGCGGACGACGGTAGCTCGAGGCGCAAAGTCGCGCTCGGAACTCCGGGTCGGGAGCTGCGATTGTGCCTCGGTCGGTCGAGGATAGGGTGCTGTCGTTGTCGTCGTCGTTGTTGTTACTGTCGTCGTCGTCGTCGTCGTCGTCGTCGTTGTTGTTGTTACTGTCGTCGTCGTCGTCGTCGTCGTTGTTGTTGTTACTGTCGTCCTCGTCCTCGTCGTCGTTGTTGTTGTTGTTGTTGTTGTTGTTGGTGCTGCGTTGCTGTTGCCGTTGCTGTTGCTGTTGACGACAGGCAGCGCAATCGGAATATGACGCTCGGATTATTTCAGCTGCGCTCATTCCGCTTCAGCGTAGGCCTTAGTTTTCTTATCTTATCGGCGACGGCGACGAAGTAACCCATTCGCGGTCACGCGTCCCTCCCCCTCCCCATAGCCGCCATTCGCATGGTTTTATCTGTCGCCAGGTGCTCCGAGGATCTCCGGAACTCGCGTTCTCGGCTCATTAGTGACGCGATGCTCATTGTGAACGTAACGGGCAGTCGCACAATTAGATGGCAAAAATTGTTATTAGCGCTTCCCGCTCGTTGGCTCGTACATACAGTTTTATAATTGTTTTAAAAACTAATCGTGCGGTATTGATCGCCGATTCGTTAGCTATGAACGCCAGAAAATTCATTATTTATTCCCCTGTGTGCGTAGGTATTGATAGGATAAAGTAGCGGTGCGTGCTTGCATAATGGCATACTCGTCTTATGCATAATTAGCATATTTGCATATTTGTGTGATTGCGCGAAATGTCTTGCGGCTTCGTTACCTCGAATCTTTCTTGCCTGTTACTTTGTGATATGAAGATGAAGAAATGTATATAAACAATGTGAACAATTATATAGTTGCTCAACTCGATTTTGCAATGGAACAAATGACGCGTCGTAGCGTTGAAACTCGGTTAATTTGACGAATCGACGAATTACGCGACTATTACGTTATTACGTCAACTCGACGCTTTATTAAATGTTAATTAAATCCACTCGTTTGGGATTATTTTTCGATAATTGCCGTCTTCGGATCGAATGAAGAAGAATAATATATATATATATATATATATATATATATATATTTATATATTTTTGTTTTGTTTTGTTTATAATTCGATCGATCCGCAGCCACTTTTATCATTATAACTATTTTTCATCGTATTCTCATCGTTAGAGGCGATCGTGAATCGAATCATGAATTTAGTGTAAACCTACGAAAAAATAAAATCGTCGGACTGGCAACAGGTTTTAATTCATTGTATATGTATAGTGCGGCCGTAATTTTAACAATTCAACAGGTAAAGTGCACTCTCACCTTGAATTTTAGTTAGATCATAAACGATCTTTGCCCAACGTCATCCAAGTTATCATAACTTCTTACGACTAGCATATGTTTTATTTTTCAATTAGCGTTCAGCCTAATGTCTGCCTAATATTTTATCGATCTTCGTTATATCGCGATCATCGAGACATTCGACATATTATACTCTTTTATTCATTATCAAGTGTCCACAATCGCTTGCAATACATAACGTACCACCGTGTAACAATTCAGTTTTTATTTCATCGGCATTATGATAGCGCTAATACCGATTCCCATTAATTCTTCGAGCGCAATTGTTCGTGTTGAAAACTTATCGTAAATTCAATTGTCGAAGCTACTCTATTAATTTTTGAAAAAATAATTTTACGCGTTTTATTGCGACTAATATTTCACGATACAACTGAATTTACCGCTCGATCGATAATATCGATATCAGTCCACATCGGTAAAAAAACTTCATTAACGAAATTTCTTTTTAAAGCTGTGTATAACCTACATACGTTTACTTAGACTATGCATAATGTAGAAAAATAATAATAATAATAATAATAATAATAATAATAATAATAATAATAATAATAATAATAATAATAATAATAATAATAATAATAGATACAATTATTTCAATTATGAATTATACTCATCCTTGAACTCGCTTTCTTTTTCCATAATGTTAAATTCGATTATTTCGTTTTAATTAATAAATCATCTGTACAAATTGTAAAACTGAACGGTAAAAATCTTATTCTAATTACAATTATCTTATATCTTTATAAAGTATTATTAATCGTTATATATGCACATACATAAGTGTAAATAAATTGTCTATACAGTATCATTAAAAACTTTATACGAATATGTATTCGAATAACACTATACTAACACATAGAATTAAATTGTAATATTATATATTATTATATAATATTATTAACTATAATCAATCGTCATTGTTTTAATTTTTCCTTACGCCAGAGAATTAATTAAACTGGACTCTTCTTAACATATCAATAATTTTGTAACAAGGTATAACAGTTTTTTAAAAAATTCCAATTGCAAAATAAATGAAAAAATTTCACTTATTGTGAAATTAAAATAATTTTTATAAATAACAAAATGCATAATATTCTGTAATCGATTAATGCATGTGGCAGGCATATATCATAATATTGTAATCGAAACTTTTTGTAATTCATGAATTTTACATTTTCATTAATAATTTTATTAATAGATAAAAATTATTGAACGGATAATGAGAGTTAAACTAAAAATTTATTTTTATTATAGCAACTTTGTAGAATGATTTTGCATTAAATAAGATGTCGACTGACATTAAACAAATTTTAAATATTTCTATATAACTATGAATTCTATATGTCAATATAGAATTATTTATATCAATCAATTCTGAAACGCGTGTAAGAGATATTTAAAAATTATTATAATTTATTGTGAATTGTTAAGAGGAACTTGTGATGATAAAAAAAAAAATATATATATATATATACATTATGACTGTAATGTAACGAAACCATCAAAATTTGATTCTAAAAGTATTTTCAATTTTTTATATTAATCGTTTTGAAATTACATATTCAAATTTAATTTAACTTTTCAAAAAACTTTTCAAAGTTATTGGCTCGAAAGAAATAGCAACGTAATGAATTATCTCCATTTGCTAGATAAAAATATACGATTACATTTAAAGTAAAATATTTATGACCTATTAAACATTCGTATGAGAATTATAAATTTAAAATTATAAATACAATAATCATAGAGATATGTGCATTAAATTTTTTGATATTGTGACAATTAAATCACAAGTATAAGCGAGTGTTTTCACAAATATATTAATAAGAACTTCGGTATTAATTGAAATAAGCTAGATATTTATACTATATTTAACCAGATATAACTAGATTATTTATACTTACACGAGTAATTGTCATACAGAGTCGTTAAGTATGATAAAAAAAAAGAAAAGTCATAAATATCTGATAATGATAATGTTAGCATTTAAAATTCATAGTTGCCTGGAGAAAAGAAAATGTTTAAACTATTATAAAATTATAATTATAGCTTATTGTTCATTCTTTCCATCATACCAAATTATATGCAATTTTTAATCTGCGTTTTCTAATATTATCTATATAAGAAAAATTAATTAACAACATCAATTTTGTTACGATTGTAATTTATATTTCAAATAATGATTATTTATTGCAAAGCCTTGTACATCATTCGTGTCTGTCATACAAGAATATGACAAGTTTTATTTAGTGGTTTTTTTTTTTTTTTTTTTTTTTTTTTTTTTTTTTTTTGTAAAATACCTGTAAGGCTTAAGTTTATTATGTCAAATTATGAATTATATGATACATCGATTTCAACCACGAAGACAATTAAATTACAAATAATATTAAATGACAATTTATTAACTTTTAAATTATCTATGCATATACATGGTACAGCAATTTATGTGCAAGTTCAAGTAAAAAAGAAAGAGGGAAAAGATAGAAAAAAAGACAGCTGTAAGGTGAGTGATGTAGTTTATTGAATGTCAATTGCAATAATACGTGACATCATTTAATCAAAATCCAATGACATTGATGTTTTAAATTGACGGAAAGTCATAATAATTAGCTGAGCATTCAAATTTTTTATGCGAAGTTAACTTGTTTTTTAATCATGATATATTGTATACAATACGAACAGTTGCCATAGTTGTCGAAGGAAGTATAGTAGTTAATTAAATAATTAAGCTATCGAAGGTTATTAAATTATACGAAATCGAAGTATTGTAAAGCGTAATATCTGATGTTGTATTTTCATTAAAATTGCTGACAATATTATGCCAATAGGGAGGCTATACACATACTGTTTTACATTCCAGATACATGTGACATTAATATAATAGCAATAATTCGTTGACAGCACAAAATAAGACTTCAAATATAATTTTACTTTATAATTCCAGTATTCGTCGATGCACGAACGATGGAATTTACGAATAAATTTATTATTTATTTATTAATTTACCTTCGTTTAATACCGTGTACCTATGTAATAAAGCTGAATTCTTTTAAAGACGTATGTGCGCTGTAAATTATTATTTCAAACTACACGCATGTCAATATAAACTTTCGTATTAATGTAACGAAAATATTAACATTCAACAGTCTTACATCTCTTATAAAAATTACAATTTCAAACGGTCAGATTTTACGAATAGAAAATATAATTAATAAAGAAATTGAATGCGATTGATTATAAAACTTAAGTATATCTATTTGATTAACAATGGCGTTCGCGCATAATAATTTATATTTTAGAAAAAAAATAGAATCGGTGGGCCGTAGATATCCGACAATCCAGCAGTCGATCAATATGTGCGGTCTTAAAATAAATTTGCCTTCTTTTAAAACCGATTTGAACAAACAGCAACCGTTCAAAATTTCTACTCAACCATGTCAACCCAATCGTCATTTCCAGACTCGAGTCGTTCATTCCCGACTCAGCGGTAGAACAACCGTGAAAGTAAAATTCAAAATAGTCTTAATCCGTGATCACCCACCATACCGCTGACTCTGAAATCTCATGTATCCCGATCTCAGTCGCGCTCTCTCTCTCTCTCTCTCTCTAAATATTCATTCATAATTAGCTCGCAAATCAATAACGCGGTAGCTTTTACATACGTATAATAATCGACCTTTGACCAAACGGCAACTCGGCGATTGGAAAGCAAATGACCACCTCCACGTTCGTATAAGAAATAAATATCCCACGTCCCCGAGAACAATGTGCTGCGAGACATTAAAAGCCAAGAGGCCTGGCATCGCGCACGTGCTTGTCAAAAGAGAATCGCGCGCCGCACGCGTGGAAAGAGAAAAACTCATTAGCCTTTATTAGGCTCGCATCCCCAACGTGCGAACTCAAATTTCCACATAACTTGTTTTTGTTCATTCCCTCCTCGTGAACGCCGTAAATCGTGCGCAACGTAAAGCAAAACTCGAGTCTAGCGATAATGTGATTGGCGAGCCTCGGCTGAGAGCCAAACGAGGTAAGATAATGTGGATTTTTGCATAGATCGACCGTCGATGGTGGGGGATGGGGACCATCGAGACTCGATGCCCTGCCTACTTTCGCGTCCAGAATTTTCTACAGCGCAGTCGCGGCGAACGATAAGCCAGAGTTTTCGGCGACAAAAGTGCGCGTAGAGCCGCGTAAAACGAAAATGAGCCGGAAGCCGAGCGCGAGTGCGATAAGCCGCTATCGAGGCGCGCGCGCGCGCGCGTGTGTGTGTGTGTGTGTGCATATGTAGGCTGCCGATTATACTGCCACTGAATAAAGACCGAATTTATCATCGGGCTTTTACGAGAAAGTACTTGCCGGCCCGCCTATGCCTGCGTGCGAAAAGCCAAGATTCGTTAGGAACGAAAACGAGTCTCTCAATCGCGCCTTACATTCCGCTCTTAAAATTAATTATCAAGATCGTTATTAAGATCCTCGCGTCGCTCGTGACTATTGCCGCCACAATCGCCTGCCAATAATAATTGACTTTTATTTTTACTTTTGCGCGACCAAAAACTATTTCAATTTATAAATAAATCTCTGCGTACAAACACACGCGCACACGCATATATATATATATATATATATATATATATATATATATATATATATAGCTAATGTCCAATGCTGTATTATATTTTATTTCTATTATGCATTATGGGATATTTTTTACGATTTAGTTAATCGGAGGATGTAAATTGTAATTTCCGTGACGTTATAAAATGGTAACAAATTAAATATATTTCTTAAAATATCATTCTCAATGCAGACATATGTTTCGTAGATAATTTTCTTTATTATTATTATTATTATTATTATTATTATTAACAGATCATTCGTTAAAATTTGTGCAAGGAAAAAAGAAGAATTTACACGTAATCTTAACCGCTTGACTGTGCTTTACTAAAACAAACGTTTATTTACAATTTTAACAATAAAGTAAAATTCCTACAGTTTCATGCGCATTCTCAAATTTTGTAATTATTTTTATACACGCGTCGTTCTTTATTCGATGGATATTAGAAAAATAATACTATTAAAAAACCATTTTTAAAAAATAACATTACGACGACGTGTATTAATTAAAAATAAAAAAGAAAAAACGGAAAGATAAATAATAAAACTTATGAAATTGATACATTTATACTATTATACTTTGTATGATAAAATAAATAGATCGATTTGCATATAAATAAATAATATACATCGGTATTTATTATTTCGAAGAGATAATTTTTATAATTTATTAATAGTACGAATAATCAAATAGCACGAGCATCCGCCGTAAGTAATCTACCATTGCTCTGACGAATTGGATTTTTTTTTTCACTCATTTTCTAAAGAATTTACAAATTTATAATTAAAGTTAAACATTAAAAACGTAGCGATTTAAAATCAGATATTAGAGAGTTTTCCGATTTTACGAATTTTTTAATATTGTATTAATTAGTTTGCAAAGCTTATTCGTCTCACGGTTAATACCAAAATAAATATTGCTATTTCTTATTATTTAAGGAATACGTGGTAATTTGAAGGGTAATATGCCTATAATAAAGAGATCCTGTTAACGGTACTCTATTAAATAATAAGTAATATCATCATTTTATAAAATTACGCTTATTCTTAGAATTATTTATTCGTTTTTGAATGACGCTTAATCTAATAATTATTGATTCGCATTATAACCATCAACTTTAAATAAAACTTGAAGACAATGAATTTTGTAAAATATATTAATATTGTATATTAATAATAATCTAAAATTCATGCGATGAGTCGTCACAGCTATTATTATTTTTATACTATAACTATAGAAAATTGTAGTATCGTGTCTTATCAATATAGAACAGTTTTAAACATAAGTATGCTAAATGAAGAAAAGTAAGGTTTTTACTTTTCAATTTTATCAAAATTTAAAGCATTATGTAAAAGGTATTTTTTCTTACTACATGTACAAAACAAATTTACTTAGTAAAAATTCAGTAATAACCTTATGTTATCAGTATACGCATGTGTATGCGCTTGTAAAGAAAACACATTTTTTAAAACAGTTTTTAAACATTTAAAAATATAGTATTAGGAATTTTAATGACAGTACATAAAACATGAGACTTCATAATGATAAACTAAAAGAGAAAAAGAAAAAGAAGAAGCAAAACCATAAACATGCTCGATAAATAAACATTTGTAAAATATCTAAGAATACATAAGAGATTACTTCTGTTCTATACAAGATACATCTGTTTAAATTAACAAAATCATTCGTTATATTTTCATTCATATTTCTAAAAAATAAATGAATATACGTAATGTCCTTATATTTGTATCTTAGACAGTTACATATATATATATATATATATATATATATATATATATATATATATATATAAACAAATTACATTTAATTATTACGCAAATAATTATTGTATATAAATGTTTTACCTACTATTCTCAAACTTATTTTTATTGGCGTATAATTCTTATTATCATAAACTTAGTAAATTATAGAGTTTCCAAATAATATTTAACATTCCCTGACTTTCAAGTACAATTAATATATTGAATAAATAAAGTAGATACGATGAATATTTATTTTTCGATTAGAATATGCCACGTGGTACGTGTAATGCTTTACTTGAAAAATTATTCTACCTTGTTAAATAACATATGCAAACATAAGTCAAAAGCGCCGAATCACAACTATCGGCATATACCATGAAGTAAGTCATATCTCTGCTAATAACACTTATAATTTATTATTTATTTTTAGTGAATGGTGAACGACGATTTTTTAGGCCCTTTGGGCCAAATAATAGTATATTGTACTATTTTCGTTGTAGTTATATCAGTAATCCTAATAATTGCTTGTCTTATCACACCAGGCTGTATCGGATACGAATGTGTTAGACCAAGAAGTAAGTATCAATAAATAATTGTTTATTATCGCGCATTGATTTTATTATAGTTATTGTTTTATTAATACAATTTGAAATAATTATCGAGGTGCTATTTGTATTTGCAAAAATAAGCGTACATTTAATTTCATTAATTGCGCCCAAAATCAAGTCTTGTAATACTAATTCGTTTAATATCATAAGCATTAAACATTAATGCAATTCCTGTTATTGTCATTTAAAGATCCTGACGGATCACGTATATTTGACGATTTTCTTAAATGTACCTACGCTAAAGCTATACTCTAACAAACATTCGATTATTCTAATCTCCAACAAATCTTTATAAATTTTTACATTTAATTAAATGTGGTATTGCAATAGAATATATTTTACAATTAGAATAATGAAGGTGGAAAACAAATTTTATTGTTACATACTTATTTATACTATTCTATGGAATAGAGTATTTGTAGTGAATAGATGCATTGACTTCAAAATTCTTTTCATCTCAATGATTGCAAATTGTAATAGATTGCAAATCTATAGGGAGAAATGATAAATTTCATCGGAAATTCAAGTAGAAGTATCGTTTGATTAATTTAATTTTTATTGACGGGTGTTGGATTTTTAATGCATTAATTGTCTTGTGATTTGCTTGAATGAAAGAAAGAAGAGCTCTTGTGATGTAAATATTTAAAATTATTATAAAACTATTTCAATTGACATAGACAAATGACAAACTAGAATTACAAAACTTGAATTTATCATACCACCAGTAAGGAAATTCATTACACAAACATGAAAAATATTCATAAAAAGGGCATTCGAAACTTCGGATATAATAAATCATTTATAGTTTTTATTTGCCTAGTCTAAAACTTTATATAATTGCGTAACATCTCTCTATGTATGTTAAAATTAGATTATCCGGAGATTGAGATAATTCGGACAAAATTCATAAGAAATGTAATCGTTGTATGTAATGTAGTCGAACCCTGCGCACAATTTCATATGGCATTAAATATTATTTGAGGCCGTTATTTAAATAAAGAAAACAATATTTCTTTGGCTGCTCGATGCCGTTACCAAGAAATATTTCTGTCCCCGTGTTCGTAACCTCTATATACGATTTCATTGCATACGAGAGATCCATTGTCTTAACGTTTACATATTTCACAATGAGCTTTGTGCAATGAGCATCGTAATTTATGTCTTACGCGCATTATTTAAAATTTGAAAAAATTTTCTATTTTCTTGTTCGCGTGAATACTTTCTGACTAGTGCGGATGAAATGGGACAATCGATTTCATTTGAACATATCGGGTAGCGTCGTTTCGATGAGAAAGATCGATTCATTAAATTTCAAAAGTAACTTATCAGTGGGACTTTAACCTTTATAGGCTTACAATAATTTAAATATCGATATCACAAAATTAAATATACAAAAATTGATCGCTGTATATAATATTAAGCTTTATAGATAATATTTCACGTGGGCGTAGAATAGGATGGCATTTAGATAAGTTTAAAGCGAGAAATAAATTGGTTAAATTCAAAAAAATATAATTTCTCTAAATATAATTACTATCGTTCAATGTCTGAGCTGTGCATTAAATCGTATGTTCCAGAAAAGTCAGAACAGTCTGTGTCTGCGAAGCAAAATAATAAACCAAACGATAATCTAAACCTCAATGACATTAGCTACAGGTCTTGGCGACTCGGTAGTTTATATGATACTGAAAATGGTAAATATTACTTATCAGCCATTTCTTCATTTCATAATATGGCCATAAACATTACATATTAATGATCTATTGGGGGGGGGGGTGTTTGTGGAAGAAAAAAAAAAGATATACATCCTCTTTATTCATTTATGCATACAATGAAATACCAAGACAACTTTGATAAATCATTTAGAGATTAATTTTTCATTTAAGGAACGATCTGCGAGAGTCCAGGAGATTCCTTCAACTCTGACAACAGTCAGTTTAGAATAGCCGACTCAACTACAGTAATGGTAGACATTTATTTTATCGTACCTAATAATAATGACAATAATAGTTATAAATAAAAATAATAACAAACACAACAATGAGAATAAATATAAATTCTTTGTCCAGAATCTTGCACCACCACCAAAGCAAAAGAAATCAAACAAAGAAAAAGAATTTCCAACTGAAATAACACTGAGCCTACGGTATTTACCATATTGCGAAGGGCTTACGGCTTCGAAACTCGTCATTGGCATTGAGGTGCATATTTTAATTATTAATATTTTACGTTATTACATGAAGTCCGGCCTAATTAAAATAAGCAATGAAATATATTATAAGTCCTTGAGTGGAATTTTCGAGAATCAAGTAGTTACGGCGCAACTTTGTTTTACAGGCCTTATCGGGTCTTCCACCGAAGCAATACAACTGCACGATGGAGCCTTACGTATCACTCGATGTTTTCAAACAATTTTGGACGCATCGAAAGAAACAAAAGCTATACACTTTCAAAACTAAATGCATTAGGCACACGGCAAATCCGATTTTTCGGGAGTCTTTCGTGATTGCTGGAGCAACGGCAAAAGATATCAGAGTATATTTCATTTTAAGCCTTAGGATTCATTTTCTAGTGAAATTTATAGTTATTTAGCCAGTCTGTTGTAGACCTGCTTATCGTTCTACATACAACTATATACAACTATAAACATACTGACCAATATTTAAAAGAATTATTAATTAATAATGAGAAGGAAATACGCAAATGATTTGATAATGGGTTGTTAAATTTTTCGTTTATTATAACTTGTTTTTTCATCTTCTTTTGTTATTATTATTATTATTATTATTTTTTTTATTTTTTTTTTTTTTTGCTTTTCCTCGTATATCTTCTATGCGACTTACTTTAATAAATACATTTTTAATCGCTCACGGCCGTTAAACTGTGACAAGAAAAAAAAAAGAAGAAATTACTAAATTACAAAATTACAGATAATTGACAATTTAAAAAAAAAAAAAAAAAAAAAAAAAAAAAAAAAAGAACTATATCTACAAAAATTCATTATTTGAATGTTTTTAAGCGGTATTCGAGTTAAAAATACTTCAACGTCTACTATGTCTATACAAATACTTTGTTTCTCGTTCTTTGAACATTATGTGACTATATAAACGAATAGACGTTAATAAATCAAAGCTTAAGAATTTTTTTTCTTTACGTATAATTAATATAATCTTGGGAAGCGATAGATTAGTTATTATAAATTCTAAAAATCTAAAACACTCATTCTCAAAACAACTTGATTTCAAAATTTGATTTATATTCTCAGGATTGGATATTAAATATCGAAGCTTATGATCACGATCGATATGCAAACGACACAAAACTATGCGAATTGCAAGTCCCATTTAAAGATGCTAAGAAACTATTTTTAAATCCAGAAACTCATCTTTTCAATTTACAAATGAAAAAATCCAGAGAGGTTTGTTACATGCTTTACTTTCTTCAATATCTTGACATGTAAAATTTATCGATACTATTTGAGTTATTGTACAACCTGGCGTTATAGGAATTTGGAAATATACTACTCGGCATCAGTTATCTGCCTACTGCGCAGCGCTTAACCATCAAGGTTATGAAATTGCGCAATGTCAAGTTCGTACCGGTAGTACTGAATCTAAATGAATTTAGTAAGTTATACATACGTGTGATATAGGAAAGTGCAATGCTGTCCTTTTAATAAAAGCTTTTAATATTGAAATATTTTGAGCATTCATATATTCATACTCGTGTCGATCAATGCATTAATTCATGTTGACTACTATTGTCGAACACACATGCGCGCGCGCACACACACACACACACTCTCGTATCGTCAGTTATATGAACAATAAGTTATATGTAAATTTCATTTGTAAATGTTAATATTGTCAAATTGTTAGTTGATGATATTTATAATATTAGTTCTCGACGAACTTGGCATATTTATTCTCGCTCATCGGCAGACTCGAAGAAAACTTTTTTTTTTTTATTACAACTTTTATTACCATAATAGTATTGTTATGTATAACACGCGTTCGTTTTTTATTTACACAAAAACTCAAGGCAACAGAGTCTGCTTCAAATGAATAATAATAATTCTTAAATTGAAATATAATTAATTAGTTATATTTATTTTACTATATCACAATGGTCATTGATTTTAATATCGGTTTTATAAATGCTACGACATTGGTAGAAAATCCACTACAATTGATGCCTTAATTTTTTTTTTATTCTTTTTTGCTTTTATGATCCGTTTTATCTACTCTCTCACTCACTCACTCACACACACACACTCTCTCTCTCTCTCTCTCTCTCACTCTGTTAATGCTCTATTAACTTCTCGAAAATGCATCAAGACAGTAAAGTCGTAATCCGGTGCTATGAATGTCTCGATGCTTGCTTTTAATACCATTAATAAACATCTCTGACAATATTAATGTTCCGAACAAATCTAATCCAACAGATCCATACGTAAGAATTTTGTTGTTGAATGGAAAAACTGGGAGAAAAATTAAAAAGAAGAAAACTAAATTCATTCGAGCCAATGCAGAACCTGAATTCAACGAGACACTCACATTTGATTTACCAGTATCACAGATTGACATATTACAGTTTCTTATTATTTTATGCAGTAAGGTAAGAGTTGGTAGTAAGAGCAATTTCTCTTAATGTACAAAGTAATCTTGAGAATAAATATTTTTGTATTCACATGAGTAGTTATATCGAGTAGTTTTTATGAACTATTGTTATTTAATATTATAATATTCATTTTTGTTACTCATTAATAATCAGAATACCGCGAAAAAAACTATGAACGCCTAAGTTGCAATCGAAGCAAATATATATTAAACATTTACTAACATTCTATGTCAAAAAAATGTTTGTCTGTTATTCATTCGAATTTATTATATTTAATATCGCAATAATTGAATATTGGCGATATTTCTTTTTATCCCGTATTTAATCAAACGCAAGTCACAGTTGATTATAACTATGAAATTTTGACAATGTTAATCGTTATATAATATAAATGAAATATCAATAAGATAGATTTCAAAATCATTAGATATCATTATTATCTCGACTGTTGCAGTGCAATGACGAAAATTTCAAAAAATTTTCTTCTTACGCGATGCGTCAATTCAAATTCTCGCCTTTAAACTCCTTAACAGTCTTAATGAGCTTCGATTATATTAAAATTATTCCAGTCGAATTACAGGTTGTCGCATTATTGCTAATCATAAAAATCATTAAACTTAATAGCTAAATAAACTTATTCTTCGAACCGTAATGTATCTATGTATGTATAATTTAAAATTATACATATATGAAACGGCCTAATAATTATCGATATAATAAAACTCAACGATTGCAAACAGAGAGAGAGAGCTACATTAACGAATTAGCATTGCCATAAATAAAAACGCGGTCGATGATTATTGAAATTAATTAAAAGATGAAAGAAAAAATGAATAGAGAAGCTGGGGAGAGAATGAAGGATGACAAATCTTGAATCTACAATGTAATTTATTGTACGCAGGCCTCGCTAGAGGACAACAACGTACCAATGATGAACGAATTACCGAGTGACAGCGAGGATTCGGTCAACTCTTTCCAGAAATCAAAAGACGTCTCTATAGGCAAAATTGCTCTTGGTAAAGGAGTTCGCGGAGCAACCGAGCGACTCCATTGGTTTTCCGTACTGCAAAATCCCAGAAAGCTCGTTACAGTATGGCATACTCTCAAATGATCGACCGTACCTTTCATTCATATGTACGCGCTTTCATGTAAATAAGTAAAATAAATATTTCGAAATGTCCTCTTATCCATAAATTACTTATTTATTTCTGATAAGTTAGGGATTGCAAATTAAGGATGGTATTTAGAGTTACGATATCATGGATTGTTATATCATCACTTGATAGTCAATTTGCGAGTTTCCCTTGCTTATTGTTTATTTCATTGTCATATTAACATATAATTAAATACAAGCACAACCGATTCTATTAATTATTAATTTGTGGATTTAAGTTTTTCTCATTCTAATAAACAATCTTAGCAATTGGACGCATTATTCATTAATTTATACGACTCGATAATGATAAATTTGAAAGAAAATAATAATCTCTGTATATAATGTCAAATTTCATTTTATTTTTTATAAACGTGATTTCATGTACTCGAAATAATAAGTTGTACCAACATTGCATTTCGTTATTCAGAAAATTTACATTCATTTCATTAATATAATCTCAATGCTTAAGTAGATACTTAGTTTCTTAAAGCAAGCATTCCGCTCTCTTGAAAAAATGTTAAAGGGAGCATGCAATATATAGAAATTGAATTAGAATTAAATCAATAATTATGGTATTTATAACAATCGTAAAACGCTATCTACGACATAGAAATTTATATTCTAATAGTAGCGCATTGAAATCTAGCGATATACATTCTTACTAACAAACATTAGTCAAAAAAGTTAAATATCATTATATATGGCATTGCGAATCAAATATATATATATATATATATTACACAATTACTCATGTATTAAGTAAATAAACACATTAGAAATCAAAAAATTTTGTTTCTTCCATTGTTCTATACTACTAATTTTGAAATTTCAATTCATTTTTATTGTTCCTACACTCCACTAATTATTTTCCTTGACTTCGTCTTTTTCCAACGCCTCCCTGTTGGGTGTTAACATGCTCATAAATTTTGCTGATACGTTATTCTTACCGGGATTCTTGAAGACGACATTATTATTTTCCATCCACTTATCGTAAAATATTTCGCTGTTTAATGAAAATCCGACCCTATAAGCACTTAGTTGATGTTCTTCCGTTGTAAAAATTCCACCAATGGCTGATATCTTAAAAATCATCAAAGTATTATTTCAATAATAATGCTTTAATTAATCGAGTAATTTAATCATAATATCATTGTATTCATTAGCCATCGTTAAATATTTATTATATGCTTGGTTGTTTTTTTTTTGTTTTTTTTTTTTTGTTTTTTTTTGTTTTTGTTTTTTTTTTTGTTTTTATGTATACGCGATATAAGGGTGCAAATAACTATAAATAGCAAACATTTATTCTTAATTAATGCGAGGCTATATAATTATATTCGTATGTGTAAAGTATTGATGTAACAATTTCAATACTTCAAAAATAATGTTTACCGTCTTCGTTATTTATAGATAATCGTGACAAATGTTTGCGGCACTTTTACCTAACCAATTATATTTTTTTGCGACGAATAAAAATATTTTAATAAAATAACGAAAATTAATAGTGGCGCTGTGTAGATTGCCCGAGAGTTTTTTTGACTCATTCGACTCAGCGACCCAACTACCACTCCAATCTAGCCGGAATCCCCATAGAACTGATGGGACAGAGCAAGAATCCCCATATCTTTGATCGGTTCTTAGTAGCGGAAACTACGCCCCTAAGCAGCAGTGCATGTGATCACGTATGCACACGCGCACGTAAGCCGAAATGTAAATGGAGAGAGAAGTTTGCATTCCATGACATGTATTAGTGATAAAATATCACGCATTAATTTGCATAATTTTTTATTAATAGTTATTTTATAATTCCGAATAATATTATTTTTAATATTTGTTGATTGACAAGTAAGTCGTTACAAAATTTGATTATATGAAAGTATTTTACGTTCTCTATTAGTAAACATTAGTAAATAAACGAAAAGAAAAAAAGAATTTTTTACGAATGCAGCAATACATGTAAATTATTATAAATAGAAGAAAGAAAGTGGACTTAATGAAGGCAAGAATGTGAATAGACTTTGTAAGGTTAAAGGACTTTCCTTCCGGCATTTACCACAGACTCAAAATAACAATAATTCTAGATATTCTATCCTACACGTTTGAATATAATAAATTTTTTGCGTTTGCTTGGCATGATTTTCAATATGTGCATACACACGCGTGAATCGAGAGATAATAAAATTGTAAAAAGACATCGAAGCTAGAAGTTAAAGAAAGTCTAGCGATTAAATAGACCAGAAATATATGAAGATACACAGTGAAAAAGGACTAAAATGCAATCCTGAATTGGCGATTTAGATAATTAACTGCTAAAAGAGCATTGGACTTTTAATATCGAATGGCTAAACAAACAGCTTAACAATTATGACATACACGTGCTTATATAAACAATGCTAAGAGAGCTTGCACATTCCCTAATTTAAATTTGTCAATTATTCATATATACAGGATATTTTGTTATAATTTTGTTTGCCAGCAAGTGCATAGATCCAATTTAGCCAAAAGCCCTAGAAAATAGAATTAGAATTACCGCGGGTTAAGCAAATTAATAATATTAAAATAAGATAAGCCCGAGAGCAAATTGCGTAATTAAATTAATAATTGCGCATTAATTATTTTCAATCGGTGCCCTTGCGTTTTACGAATGTTTTTATAAATTTTTCTACAGAGCAACCATCTCGTCTCTTTAGGTTGCAAGAGTTAGCTTGTACTTTTCAAATGGTACGCTTATCTCGATCTTTATCATAGATCTTTTTAGTAGATCATTTGTACAATAAAACTGCCTACATATAATAATATAAAGTCCTCGATAAGACTTTGATTTTAATCAGAAAAGGCATTCAATATTTTCATTATATATTTCACTTATATAATTAAATAATTTCATTTACAATTTGTAGACAATATTCAGCCGAATATTAGAATTTTTATCTACAATTATAATTTAAATATAATCTCCAGATAATTCCATGTGTTCTAATTACCATGTATTACCTACAATAATGGTTTTTATGTGTTTCAATGTCCGTTACGTCCTCGCTACAATGAACGTAGGTGGTAGGCTTTCGCCAAATAGAATATATTAGTTTTCAAAATAGAAATTATTCCATTTTCACTTGCCTCTATGAATTTTACTCAATTAATTGTGAGTGTAATTTTCTCGTCTACATTAGCAGATTTACTCATTTCTCGAGTGATAATATGTGAGAAGCCTCCGATAAAAAAAAAAAAAAAAAAAAAAAAAAAAAAAAAAAAGAAAACAACGAAATGTCAATGTGCAACGCACTTGAAATTACTACTTTATATTACACAATTTATAGTATTTTACTTCAGGATTTTACAATATTATTTGCAGATCTACAGAGAAATACAGGCAATATTAAATGTTACCTCGTGACTACCATATCGTCTGTAAAGAGAGCATCATTGCCTATTCCAAAAAAGTATACGAAATTTAATAATTTCATTTAACAAGAAGTTACGAAGTATTTGATAGCCAAGGAAATAACTACAAATGTAAGTTTCTGCGGCTAGAATATAAAATCAAATGGTACAATTATCAATATCTCCTCAACATACATATTAATAATCATTAATAATGGCAAACTTGAAAGATTTACATGCAACCTTATTTGTGAATAATATGCTTATTATTTTTCGCAATAGTTACAAAGTATTTTAAAACAGAGAATAGCTAATGAAATCTGTACGACGAATGACTTCAATGAATGGTTTAATTTATGTTTGCAATCGACTTATCGAATTCACAATGACCAACCCTAAAGAAAAAGTTTTTAAATTGGCCTTTTTGGAATATCGCGATAAATATTGCTTGATATAACTCGATAAGAGGTACTTCTTATATGAGTACTTTGTACTCGAATAGCAAACGAACGTGCTTTATTTGAGAATACGCATAACTTTATGAGATCACTTCGTGTTATTCAATCAAATATATATATTTCCCGTACTAGTTCATATATACTTTAGATCAATTTTCATTGTTTATTAAACACCATAAAGTATCGTATATGTATAGATGAAGCATAGAAGAGCTTCAGCGTGGAGTCATGTGCAAAGAAAAGTTGTTATAATAATATTAACTTATTTAAGCATAAGTAAACAATTCATTATATAATCAAAGTTAATTAAACATAAACATTATTAATTAGGTAATAATTTTAATTGTAGCCAATATATACACATTCGATACATATTCCATACATATTCGATACATATTCAGTCTAATATTAGAATTTTTCCATTACCATTGGTATTAGCAAAAATTATAAATTTTTGTATCTCGGAGATAATAAGTTCTCGAACTAATGAAAAATTAATGCAACAATAATATAATGGATTTTTTTTTTTATATTTCGTAGCGAAAACTTAATAAACGGCAGAAGGTGTAAAAACACTGATAATTCCATACAACATTTGACTATTAAATTGCGTATCATAAAAATTTCTAATATTACCGGAGTACTATATAAACGTTATATTATGACTTTATGCATTATTGCATGGAAAGGACATCGGCATCGATTTGAATGCATTTGAATGCTAATAATTTGAAAAATAATGGATAATATTGATAATAATTGGGGTTACCACCTACATTATAACAGATAAATTATTTGTGGTTCTCATAACGAAGAAAAGTAATGGGGATGCGACAACCACTGCAAAAGTTGATATGTTATACACACAAGCAGATCCGTCACATCCGATCGATCGTTGAGTGAATATTATTGTCTCTGAAACTGCAAAGTGTGAGAGAGAATCTTGTCACACGAGCGCACAAGTAACGAGGCGAAATATTTACAAAATCAACAGCGATAATCTTAAATATCGATAAATAATATGAATTAAGAATGAAAGATTAATCAATATGTCAAGCTATTAATTCGATTAATTCGACTATGCTGAATTGCTAATATCATCGCGACCCTAATTACACCGAAGCTTAATTAATTATCATGCGCAAAATTACCAGCACGAAGCTGTAATTATCTTAAATATTTAAATCTTCAAGCGTTTTTTGTCATCACATGCCGAAAGTGTAAATTTCATTGGCAAATTAGTTGCTTATACGGCCAGTACATGAGGCTATGCACATTGTACATTTAAACTATAATGTTAGAAAAAAAAATTGTACCGTAAATTGTATAAAAGTATTTTTATGATAATTACGTTGTATCTATTAATGAGTAAGTTTTCGAGAAAAAGTAATATTAATTGTAGGCCAAAGCCGTGGTATTCCAAAAAGAATAAATAATATTTTTATTATCGATATACTATTATCTGGTATATATGCGTTACACGAATACATCGACACGATAAAACAAATAGTGTAACGAGGAGTAAATGTTATAAATATATATTAGAATAATTTACTAGAAATAGTAATAAACAAATAAATGCATGTAAGCGCAAATATGATTGAAGACAAAAAATATTTATATAACCGTTTAATGTACATATTATTATTTACAATTTTTATTTTTACATCTGTTTACATGTAAATTCTTGTTAAATTGTAAACTGTCTCTTTTTGAATTCTGTTCGGAATAGAAGCATTTTAGTCCAAGTCATCGGTTCTCGGAATATTTACATTTTCTCATATTCGTTTCCCCACTAGCCAAAAGCTAGAATTCTCCAACGTTCTACGAGTCTTCTTAACCCTCGAATGTTTGCATTCAACTTCTTAGAATTTTCCAACGTTCTACGAGTCTCCTTAGCCCTCGAATATTTACATTCGCCTTCTTTGAATTCTCGACTAGCCGAAAGCTTAGATTCACGAACGATTCCGATCGTTTCCGATCGTTTCCGATTCTTTTCAAACGGCTGCCTAGCCTCGAACGTTTACGCTTTTTCCGCCGAATTCTCGAATAGCGGAAAGCCAATTGCCGCGCCGATACTTAAGGAAGTGCGCGACGAGATTCCACGTAATTTACTATCGGCAATCATTCGGTAATGAGTGTCGGTAGTTTTAAAGTGCCGCAATTCGATTATTCGACCAATTAACGCGGCGGCCCTCATGTTCGACGCAACAATCGCAAGAAAAAGGCAAAGACAACGACGATCCGTCAAGGGCTGATTGCCGTTCTAGAAAATAGTCGACTATACAAATCATTGTATCTAATCCTTCTGCTCTCGAAGGTATATCATTTATCTTTATTGCGAATAAAACTAGCACACTAATACTCCCATGCTCTCCTTTATGAGTATGATCGATTCGCTTGGAGACCTTTACAACGTCAGCATAGAACCCTATAATCAACAACATCCATTGCTAATCCCTATAGCATCATCAACGACATCGCCAACATTACGAAGAAGCAACCACATCGTTGTAATAGAATAATCCCCCCCCCCCCCCCCCCCCCCCATCACACACACACACACACACACACACACACAAACAAAAAAAAAAGAAGTAAACACAAAACTGCAATATTATAATAATGTTAATAAAACAGAATAAACGATGTCTTAAAACGAAGTTACACACTGTACATACTTTTAGCCATTCCACGTGTGTACTTTAACTGCGCATCGCTACGGCAAGAGACAAATAAACTGAACTACCGAATTTGGCAATTGGAGCCACAGACTGAACTTTCGAATACATTCAATTTTTGTTAGACTTATTTTCTCGTCTTTTGAGAATTTCCTCTATAAGGTACACATCAACACATTGTGTCTTTAAAAATATTTTATAGATCCTAGAATGGATTGTGATACTTATGGTGCTTTAGATAATTCAGTGTTGTAATCATTTTGTAAAAAATATTCGATTTGCTTTCTCGCATCTGATCTCTACTTCAAAATTTTAATTTCTTTTTAAAAATCAGCTTTCTTTCGAGAGTCTCTTCACAATATAAAATTTGTTTAACAGTTTGTGTGGTGCATAAAATATAATATAATCATTTGTAATTACCTTGCAAAATGGATAACATTTTTTTATTAAACAACCACGAAGATATTTAAGATTTTTTAAGAATTCTCTATGACTTACATATTTTTTCAACTCTGTTATTATGATCAGCTTTTTAAATACATTAAAGCTCCATTTCAACTTTCAAATTTTTTTTTTTTTTAATCGTAGCATATGCACATATGTAATATCTTTACGTCTAAGCACATCTCCTGAAAATATATACGTCTTAGATAATTTCGTTATCTAGACACGGATAAGTATCAAGTATATAGTACATATGGGTTATATGACTCTCTCTCTCTCTCTCTCTCTCTCTCTCTCTCTCCCTCCCTCTCTCTGTATGCGTGTATATACATGTGGTTTTATATTTATAATAATGAGATATTTTTTGAAATATTATATTAATTATAAGGAGGATTTGATATTGAAGAGGTAGTATTAAAAAAAAGAAAAAAAAAAAAGTTTAAAACCTTGAAACCAATCAAAGCTATGGGGATTCTTGCTCTGTCCCATCAGTTCTATGGGGATTCCAGCTCATTGGAGTGTGAGTGAGATAGTTGAGTGGAATGAGTCAAAAAAACTCTCGCGCAATCTTCACGGCGCCACTACTACTCGTATCGAAAATAATAATATAACATTTATTATAAGTAATCGAATCTATGAATAATGTAGTATATTAGATTTCATAAAATATAATTAAAGTATTCGTTATATAATATGAAATTTAAAATAAGAACAATGTACCCATTAAAGATACTAATACTATTTGTCTTATAAGATATTAAAGATTAAGAAAAAATTATTACCAAAGCAGTCATAACACAATCTACATCCACACGATAGAATATCATTTCTTAATAATAATGTTTTCTTCAAAAACGCCCTTGGGTTAATTATCAAAAATATTATGATAATAATTGTACGTAATTAAGAAAAGTATAATAGTTGAGCGTGGACAATTGTTATATAATGAAGCATGAATACATTGGTAAAAGTAACAGGAATAATGAATTAGCGGCAACGCTTATTTATAAATGAATACTAATAAAATGATGATAGAAGCCAAAGAAACGAATTTTGCCCATAGGACTACAAACAATAAGGCTGCCAACTATTGCATTATATGAAGATAAGTGAACAATTGACCGAATTCGTAAGATGTGAACCGAACATTCGCAGCCACATACGAATTGCAGTGCATTGTAAACAAAATGTCCTTCTAACCTTCATTTGTATAGCAAGACGTGCAGTGGCTAGGAGAAGAGCCTCGGCGACTCCTTCCTCCTTGTACGAAGGATGAACACTAAGAATGTAAACCCGCAAGTACGTGTCGTGTCCGATCGCTTCGTATGCATTGGCTTGCAGTATCAAAGCACTCTTTAGATTCCATATGGACTGTAAAGTTCGTCCTTCCAATATCTATTTGAAGTAATTTTGCAAAAGTGACCGTCTAATTAGCACTTCCTTGGATTTCGCAAATTAATTGAAAGTAACATTGTTAAGGACTTGTTGTTTGAGCAGCCATTCGTTAATACGAGACTTATAGGAATACACGTTATGATTGAATGGAAAAAAAAAAAGGAAAAGAATTTTGAAATTTTAGAGTAATTTGATTGAAGTACATTGAAAGAAGGTTGAAAGTAGGTGATATTTGTATAACTTAGCGTTTAAGCAGTTTAAAAATTCTCGATTACGGCAGCTGTTTTTCTTGATAAAGGTATGTGGCTTATCTAACGTCATAGCTACCTGCATGCGGCTGTAAGTATTAGTCTTGTCAAAATTTCTGTTAATCCGTGTTATGACTGTGCCGATAATGCGTCCCGACTTCACACTCACAGCCACCAAACTGGTCGTATCGTTCATCCACATTCTAATTATATTTAAATATTCATGAAGCGATACTGCATCGTCTAATAGCTTTGACGATCTGCACATCGCTTCCTCCCGAAAATAGTGATGCTGATCTCAATAAATAAAATAAACATCAAAGATAAAACAAAAGAGATGGATAAAGCAAGACAGTATGGACTTATCGTTATAGAGTCAATCTCAATTTACGTACGATTAAAAATTATTAATCTACAAAAGTGGAAAGCGCGATTAACGACAATAATTCATTATGCTATATTTGCTTACTAAGTTACTTGTAATCAAATGAAATAAACGAATCTCACGTTATTATTCATATTTAAGATTGTTATATACATTTAACATATATATGTATATGATTATGATATTATTGACGAGTGTTATTATAGTAGAAAAAAAAAAAAAAAAAAAAAAACTTGTATCATAACATAATAATAAAAGCAAGTGTTTACCGATTAATCGTCGAATCGTAAGCAAGAAGAAGTATGGGTATTATAGTTTATATTTCGCCGATAAATCAAGAGATAATATGTTAATGATAAAGGATATCTAAATAAATGAATAGTTGGTCAATAGTGGCAACTCAAATATTAATTTCAATTATTTATAAAGGGCTTATTAGAAAATATAAAAAAAAAAAAATAAAAAATAAAGATAATGTGTGCTTGCGCGAGTGTGTATAGAGACTTATAAAATACAAAGCAAATTCAATAAAATTTTTCATAATATTAATTGTATTGAAAAATTGCATTATAAACGAAAAATAGCCAATTACATTTTTATTTTATGCCACTTTCAACAGTAAAAAATTAATAATTTTTTTTTCTTCTAATGTATATATAAATAAAAATAATAGAAAACATCTCTGTGGAATTATCAATATAGATTTGTAATTATTTTATTACATTACGTATATGTAATTCTCTTTTATGTACATTAATTAATATTAATTTATATTAATGTTGACAATATTTTATTCAGTAATTTCAGCTACGAGAAAAATGAAAAACGAAGATCAACTAACGCGACAAACAAATGTATTTGGAAAAGCAGATAACGTTAATCGCATGTAATTTTAAAACTTCAATTTCTTATCTTTCCCAAAACCTTTCAATTAACTAATTAATGTCTGAAGAAAAAAAAAGAAAAAAAAAAATATATATATATATGTACATTTATTAAGTCAAACTACGATTATTAATTAATTCAAATTCAGATTACACATATTAATTCGTATTATTTTAATTACAAATTATTTTTTAAATTTAATAAAAAATTAGTTGTATTATTATTATACATTAGAATAAGTCGATGTTTCAAATTTATAAATAAAATTTCATTTATTATATCACGCACATCATAATTCATCATCTAATGCTCCATTAAATGCAAAAAATCACGTTTTTGATAATCTATTTATTTATTTATTTAGCAAGTTCAAGCGCTATAAAACCGATGATCCATAAACGTAGGATTATTACTTAATAATTTAAAAATAATGTTATATATTCAATTATATTGTGATTCAAATTATTACACCGATGTCAATTGGAGTTTTTATCAATTGATAGATATTAATAAAATACTTGCTCTTAGCTTATAACAAAATTATTTTTGAGGTTAAAGTTCATCGAAACTGTCTATTCTAAAAATTCTTAGTGATAAATATTACGGTAGTGCTTGTATCTTGTTAAATTTTTTTTAATCGATCCATTATTTGATTAGCTTTAAAAAAAAAAAAAAAAAAAAAAAAAAAAAAAAATAATTACTTAGTCCTAGGTACGTATGATATATCGATAATAATTGTATAAGGAATATTAATAAAAGTTTAAGCCAGCAAATCTAACCTTAATAAGTAACAGAATTTCTTCATGTCTATTTTCACGAAAATCTTGAATTTTAAATTTCGGCTTTATGCCCCACGTAATAGGAGCATAAATTTTCATTTCAATATCCATCGCTTCTTCATTAGATGACTCCCCCATACTCTTGTAATATTTTAAGCCTTCAATACATTGATCGAATAGGAAACGTTTTGCAGCATCTCATGTATGTTAGAAAATTTTGATTATTTATTAATGTTAATATGCTGAAAATACAACACGTGCATAACATAACCAACGAAACTACGAGAAATGACAATCAAATTATCTTCAAGGTAAATAACTATCAAATGGATTATCCATTTAATCCAAGTATACTACAAAAAAGACCATCTCTATTCAGAGCAACGGCACAGGATGAAATAAATAAAAAATTGTTAGTGGAAAACTTTATATCAGCAAATAAGGAGCGAATGAAATTTGAATCCAATGTGCCAATTACGTGGGAGAGGCTCGGCTCTGGTTATAGGATTATCGATTTCCCAATTGAAAGAATGGAGGAAATACTCGAGCATATAAAAGTAATAAATCATCGAATCTTCAGTTAGTAATTCGATTGTGTATTATTAAAAAATTCTTGTCAATAATTTTTAACTGCCAATCGATTTCTTAAGGTTTACTATTTCTATTCGGAACGAGCACCTCTAGCCACATCATTGTTCATTAATTCATATACATTGATAAAATACTTACAATTTATATTGAAAGCGGTAACGGAGCGAAATAGTTTTTGCGCAATAGAGGAGGGTAGTGGAAAAATTGTTGGCGTGGCAATTGCAAGTATTAACTATCCGTTCGACGAGACAATGGAGAACGATGACGTGAATATTTTGTTTCTCATTGAAATCCCTCGTATAATGCAGCTTATGCAGTTTGAAGTAATGACAAATCATTTGCAGTTTCTTGCGCATGATAATGATATTAATTTACTGAAATACGAACGAGACCTTCTACTTGAAGCGAATATTTTCGAAACATTCAACATTGACAAATATTTTTGCATTCACCTTATCTGCGTTCATCCGGATTATTGTGGAAATGAAATTGGCACGTCCTTGGCTCAGACTTGTCTAATACAAGCTCAACAAAAACAGTGTTCACTCTGCATTGGTATTTTTCCATCAGGTTCTGGCTACACTGTAGGTACAATTACTTTGCCAGGTCATAAAACAAATATCAAACGTCTTCAATTTTATGTGCAATGTATTCGGTATATGACTATTCCATTCATCTAGAATACACGAACAATCGACACTTATTTTTCATTAGCCGAGTATAGTGCTTTAAACACTAAGCATCACAATTTTTCATTCTCATTGGCACATTGTGAATTGCCAAAATGATTTATGACCTATTTACATAATTACCTTTTTAGCCCAAAAACTTGATTTCAAGAACTTAATAGAAACGCCATGGATAAACACTGTATTTGGAAAAATAAACGATTATAACATTTGTATTCATAATATAAGGAATAGTTTTGTCTCGTGTATGGGTATAACCATACCACTGGAGAAAGAAGATACAACATCGTCCAGAGAAACGGTTACTTAAAATATAAAAGATTCAAATATAATGTTAAAATTATGTTAAAAATTAGTCTCACGATGGTAAGCAACGGCCGGACAATACTTAAATATTTTATTTATATAACTAATAGATATTTGCCAATAATATATTTGTGATATTAATATAGCATACACACGAAGTCTTCGATATGCTAAGATACGATTGAAATTGCATTTATCAAAATTTAATTCAAAGGATTAATCTAATTTGTCAAACAACACTATATTATGCGATAATATATAAATTCGAACAATAAAATCTTATATAATACATTGGAAAATTAAGATATGGATAACAGAGTACAATAAAGAAAAATATAGATAAACGTTAATATAGAAAGTAAAATGAGCATGAGACAGAGGAGATTTTTATTTATAATTTTACAATTATATTAATTAAATGTATTTTTGAGTGATTAACAGTTGTTCAAATGAGTCTATTAATAATTGTTTGAAAAATCATCATAATGTATATTTAATTATTTATAGATATTCCGATTCGTGTTCAGACCTTGTCTTTAGATAAAATACGAATTCTATAACTATTTCATCACATTATAATTTATCTTTTCTTTTATAATACCACGATCGTTATCAGATAAATTACTCTTTAATAGATTTTTATACAAATTAAATTCTATTTTCGTTACAAAACGAATGCAATATATTATTCCAAAATTTTAATGTCGCTGGATACAGATTACTGACGTTTCATATGAACTATTAGTATTGAAATATTTCAAAACTGTTTTTTGTAGCTTCGGGTGTAAGATTTCGATAATATAAAAATCATATCATCATTTATCTGCGTATATATATATATATATATATATATATATATATATATATATATATTATTATATAACACTAACGATTTGCGAATAAATTGTTTTTTTATAAACAAATTTATTTATCTATATTGTACTCTGATTTTCATGTTATATTTTTACTTCAATCGCGAATAAAATCATCTTGCTTTTAGAATTTGATCAGAAATTTTTTGTTTTAAATAACAATGCGAACGATGTTATGAAACATTTTATCATATAAGTATTTGAGTTATTTCGTGTACACGTGAAATTGAGTTGGCAATGTATCTTGAAATTCCACTTCTCTATAATCGATTTAGCATTATAAATCACAACATATTAAGTCACAGATATTTATATATTTTTATACTATTCTAATAAGTCTCTAATAGATAAAAAAAAACAACATATAAGACGAAATGAGGCTCATGAAAAAGAAGTAACGATAAAATAACACATAGAAGAATATCTCTATTATGGATTAATTATAAAAGATTTTTATTATATTATGTCGCATGTTAACGATTATTAATATCTAATTATTATTGAAACAAAATATCCATACTCTTTTAAAAATAATAAAATAACGTTAATACGAATTTTATTTAGACGACAACATAAACTCAGATTGTCGTAAAAATACGAAATTACCAAACATTGTAATATCACGGTAATTCCGAATGGACACAATAAAATCTTTAAAACTCAAATAAACCATTTAACCGATAGTGAAAATCAAAAACATATATATATATATATCATTATAATTATGAAAGGCCATAAATATCAGAAAGCTATAAATATTAAAGAAACAAAATAATCGCAAGTAAATGAAATTATTATTATGAATATAAAATACAAGGTTCTTTAGACATCGCATCGGTATTGGTTTTCGCAGAATTAATAAGAGTTATAATAATAATGTAATTTATAAGGTCAAAGCATATTTGTGATTGATAATAAAAGAAACATAAATTAAATAAATTAAGCATAAATGTGTAACATAAATGCCATTGATGAATATCAGCTGAATCGCATGATTATTTCCTTCGGAATATTGCCAATTATACATTTATTAGAATACTCTTCTTTAATTATAATGAAAGACGTTAATAATAATAATAATAATAATAATAATAATAATAATAATAAGATAATAATAAGCCTCGCTAAGAATTAAGTGCCAGGATTTATATTCGAATATATCGACTTAGTAATTAAACGCAAGGCACGGCAATTGGCAATAATAAGCCGACAACTAAGAAATCGCATATCCAGTTTTAGCGAAATTGTAGCAAATAGTTGTGAGAATGTCAATCACACGATTGTCCTCATTGCTCAACGGAGTGTCTTGAAATAGTTGCTCGCCCATCGGGAACAAACATTGCAATTCGTCAGCATACGAGTAAAAAAGTACATTAGCGACGATAATGTTGCAAGTGGTCATGGACCGCCTAGTTGGTTGCGGTGAAAAATCAAGAATCCGAGTGCAGCTGTTTCAATATTTATCAAGCTTGTTATCTTCGTGGAATTAAATTTTCATTAAATACACACAGCCACATTTATATATTATAAATTCATTACAATGATGTGTAATAGCATATAATAGTTATTACATTGATAAATATCGCTTACATTTAAAGAGTCAACATCTCATTAAATTATCTATCTATGGATTGACCTTCAAAATAAAATTATATGGATCCTAAAATATTTTTACGACTATGTTTTACGGGCAAATTTTTCCATATAATAGATATCTTTATCATTACGCAATATAGTTAAAATTAAAAAGTTAAAACTAAGTCGATGTTATATCACATTATTATATTAAATAAGTAATTGAGTACGATTAAAGTACCAACACGAGAAAATATATATTTTGATATTCTCAAAGTATAATTTCTAGACTACAGACAATATAATAAAACTGTGATTTTATAAATTTCTATTTTCCGTTACATTAGATAATAGTTTAATGAGCAGCTTCAACAAATAATAATATACTTATTAAGTTATAGAAATAATTAAATGAAAAAAAGATCTAAAAATTTATTACAACTCCAGTGTGTTCCATAGATCTTTGTAAGAAAAATTAAAAATTACATTTTATAAATTTTCTATTTGAATATAACTTAAATATTTTATATAACTAAAAATTTAAATTTATAACATAAAAAACATTTTCTTAAAAAAAAAAAAAAAAAATTCATCTGATAAGTTACATATACGTTAGCCAGTACCTTAAATAATTTTTACAGAATTCATTGATACCTCTTATAAATTAATAAAATTCAATATAAAAATTTTCATAAATAATTTTTATGCAATTATTAATGAAATAATAAATAATAAATAATTTATATTATCATAGATAAGAATATTTTAAGTATTATATTAGTAGTAATATAACAATTAATCTTGTTTAGAATTAGACCAAGTCCACCAGATTATTGGCATGGGAGAAAAGTGTGAATTTAACATATTTGCGCTTTTCGTGTAATTTACAGCATTTGACTTGTTAGTTAGACTATTCTAATTCTAAATTGGCGATGAGAATCGTTGATATCTTGCAGTTCCTTGACGAGTGCCACGTGGTAGGAACGTGCACTACATGTAGAGGTGGAATGAAAACTCCTCTCCAACACATCAATGGTGAGAGATAAGGCAGAGTTGATAGAAGAACTAATCAGTAATGCAAACAATGTACTAAAAAAATTGCACAAGTTGGACCTCGAAACTGACACGTCTGCTACTGTATAAACGTCCACCAAGTCACGCAACGATTCACCGAGCACACGCGACAGAGCAATGGGAAAGCTTTCTAGGCGACTCTATTAACAACCCTGTTGGTCACTTCCCTGGTGCTGGAGCTAAAATATGCTTACCATCGACAACATTACAAGCCCGTCTTCTATAATCTATAGAGGCTCCGAGAGTACGTTCGCGACAGAGAATCTCACGATGAAGCTCGACATACCCCGTTAACGTTCCCTCATCATCGTCCATGGAATTGGAGGATCCTTCCCAACCCAGGCTGAAGGTGCTATATCACTCAGCCTTTAATGAAATCATTTAAAATCCTTGAACAGATTGACCACGATCCTTCCATCCCTTGAAACTTCACATCGGGCATGGCCGCACCCGAGAGACCTAACACTAGCCGATCCAGAATATCTTATATCATGGCCAGTGGATATTGTTCTTGGAGCGGATGTATATGGGCAGATCATCAAGTATTCTCCATCCATGCCAATTATCCAACGTAATTATCCATTTTTTGATGGCTAGTACTGGGGGCCTGTCAGTGTGGCAAACAGTTTAACGTCAGCATCATTTTACACGTCAACACAGGATGTAGAGAATACTTTACAAAAACTATTGACAAGATTTTGAGTGCAAGAAGAAGTGCCAAAGAGTACCGCTCATCGATACACCTCTGATGAGTAGTGGTGTGAAGATCATTATAAAACAACTCATTCACGCAACTCAACAGGGAGATACATCGACCGGATCCTACTCAAGGAATCTGTTGAAGTCCTCGGCGAATCTCACAATACTGCCCATCGATGTCTGCAAAGTTTCCTCGATTCTCAAGAGACAAAATTTATCGGCAACTCTATCAACAATTCACGACGGATTATGAAGAGTTGAAAAACACATGAAGAGAGCTTCCTCGATGTCCCATCATAACAAAACTCACTACTATCTGCCACGTGAAGGTGTATTTAAACCAGATAGCACTACCACAGTGTTAAGAGGGGAGGGAGGGAGGGGGGGGGGGTATTCGATGACTCAAGCGCATCGATATCGGGACATTCGATCAATGACCTTATGGCGGACGCTTTTCCATTGCCAAATTGGCAATCGACATCTCATAGAGATGTCCTTACCGCTATTAAAGCAGATCATAAACAGGAATTATCAATTGCATTTGACGATTGCACAACCAAAATTCTCGAACTACAATGGAGTCCTAAAGAGGATAAATTCACATTCTCAACAACAATCTCTAATGAATTTTCACTAAACATTCACTAAACATTCACTAAACGCACAATATTATCAGACATTATAAAAATTTTTGACCCATTTGGCTCTGTCTCACCGGTGCTGATTAACGCAAAAATGATTTTACAAGAATTATGGCTACACACACCATAAATGGGACGATCCACTACCATATCAAATTTCAAACCGTTGGAGCACCATTAGAAAAGATTTTTCAGAGTTGAATAAGATCGCGATATCATGGTGGGTTTAACATAGAAAACACATCCACAGTGGAATTGCATGGCTTTTCTGATGTCCCTCAATTAATTGGCAATGGCAGCAGTCATATACCTTATTGTCCACAACCCTAATAACCCTAAGGTTGCCTTTGTGTGTTCCAAGACCAAGGTAGCCCCAACTTAAGCGGCTCTACTACTGTCAAAACTTGTGCTGTATGTCCGGACCACACTGAGCGTGAAAGTAAAGGCACGACACACGTGGCCGGATTCAAAGGTAATAATACTCACGTGAATCAGGTCCCACGCGTGAGGATGGAAAGACTGCGAGGAACCCGATTACTCACAAAACACACACACACACACACGCACACACACACACACACACACAAATAATTGAAAATTTCATTACTATTTTTGTCAACACTTTTCTTCAATGATATTTATTTAGCTAAAATTTAAAGCAAAATTTCAATAAAAGAAAACGTTAAACAAAATTACATTATATCGATTATTTAATATATTAATATTATATTTATATAATTATAAAATTAAAGAAAAACATACATATATATATGAATTTTAATTTTTATACTCTTTATTAGAAGTGTCAAGATAAAACGAATCCAATTAACAGAAATATACATTTGTATTTCAAATACATTTACTCTTATATTATTTAACATAATACAGACATAATAGATGCAATGATATTTTAAAGTATTAATTTAAAATATGCACAATCGATTATATATATATAAAATAACATTTATGATTTTAAACGCAATATCGTATGTGACGAAATTTAAATTGTTCTCGTTAGATTTCATTTTAATACAAGTACAAGCACATAAGTGGTTCAATGATCCGGAAATTGTGCATTAAATTGTTTTTTAAACGTGTTCGTTATATATATGCGATAATAATGTTGAAAATTGCCGTGGAAAGCCACAATGTTGGACAAAGCTTTCGACTGCCAGCAACTACGTGTCTCTCTTGCTTTTATATAACTTAATTACGCGTATGATATACTCATTTTTTTTTCATGGTTATTTTTTAACATTCGTATGCTTTATGTTAAGTTACGTGCCCGGTAAATCGCTAACAAACGATCATAGAGATTATTGTGTGAATACTTAAGAAAAATATTATATATCAATGTATCGATCATTATTATTAATATATACTACAGATTTAATACGCATTACGAATAAGAATATTAATTACTTATTGTAATAGTTCGTATATATTAATAAGAGCAAAGCTTTGTAATAATTTATAAACAAATGACTCTTGGGAAAAATAATAATGAGTCAATTGAAATTAGCATTCATTATAGAATAAAGAAAATTATTTGCTGTATTAAGTGAGAGATAACTAAAATCGAGTAATTGGCAATAACTGGAAAATCGCTTTTTTTATTTAGAACACGAACTTCTAATTTGAGATAAGACATTTTTTTCTAATATCTTATCACCATTAACCCAATGAACTTTTAATTTATTTAGTAATTGTACAATCATTTCCAAATTATTTATTATTCTTGGAACATAATTCAATTCACATTACAAATTATTTCAACATATCGGTTTTTTCATTTAACTACGTAAATAAAAAAAAAAAAAATATATATATATATATATATATAATATTCAAATAATGAAAAGTAATAAATTTTAATCTCTAATATCTTTATCGCAAAGATACAATAAGTAAATTTTCTTTAAAGTTTTTCTTTTTCTCGAGCTAAGCTTCGATATTAAAACATATTTCCAAAATGATTCAAATTTTCATTTTAAATTCGAATGTAGAGGCACGCAAGTACATTACATAATTATTTACATGTTTGTTTCTATTTGTAAGTCGTTAAAACATTACATTTTTACGGATAACTCAAAAAGTTAATAAAAAATTAAAATTAAATTAAAGCAAGACATGAAATCTAAAATAAAATAAATAAATAATAATAAATAATTGTAAACCATTTTGAAGGCAATAAAAAGCGAATAAAGAGAATTATACTATAAAATGTGGACTTTGAAATCGATCTTTCCAGAACATTGATTAACAACAACAATTATGGACAAGTCATTCATTTTTACGTCTTTTCGATAAGGTGAAACTTTTACTGTGTTGTGAACAAAGAAAGCAAAAGATGTAACGTGTATTTAACTAATTCAATGCATTGCCAAGTTGACTCATAGTGCATATGAGAATATATTTTATTATTTATTATATATTCATGTGCCGAGTCATATGACTGTTGTACTTTTATATAATAATGGAGTTGACTAGTAAGTAGATTTAATAACAAAACATTTATAAAGACGTACTATTATAAATTAAGCTTAATCTTTCGAGTACATGTCATGATAATTATTTTTGTAATCAACAAATTTTTTCACTCCATTTGTTTATTCGTAATTTTTCCTTATACAACGTAAGAATGTTTAATTTGCGAAATTCTACCGTGAAAACTAAATTTTTTTTTTTTTTTAATCTCCACTTAATTCAATATACAAATACCCAAGTCTGAAAATTAATTCAATATTTGAATAATGGCAAACTTGATAATGTATGTATCCTATAAAGAATTTCAAATAAGAGAAATTTTGTAATCAATAAGTTTGTTTTCCTAAATTTTATAACTCCATAACATTATGCATTCATTTTTAGTAAAAAAAAATGTATCTACGCAATTTATAATTATAAACAAGTATTTTTAGAAAATTTGACGGTTTAATACTTGGTTATACTTTTTTGGTAAATATACGTAGTAAAACTAGACTATTAATTCATAAATCTTTATTTTTTAAAAAAATCTAAATATTAATGTGCGTTTACCTTTCACATCGTGAATTTTGAAACATTGCAATGAAGCAAATAGTAATGAATTTTAAAAACCACAATGAAAAATCGTATGATAAAATTAATTTGGTCACAATGAACGATCGATAATTAGCTAATTTGTATTTTCACTTAGGAAACTCTTTGACAACGACATTAACAATTTAATACAAGCTTTATAATAATTGTTATAACTAGTTTTTATAATAATTTTCATAACTCATTTTTATAATAATATTTTGATGAAGAATTTGGCAGATTTTACTCGGTAAATACAACATTTTTGCTAGTAAAATAATTTATGGAAATAAACTTATTTTAATAATAACGGATTGTCCGTTTACTTTAATATTGCTTTCATAACGATATCAGAACATTATTAATTACAAATTTTAATTATTTGAAATTTTCTATTGGGCGCAACGTCAATTTTTTAAAAATAATGTCTTAACCAAATTACATTTTTCGAATATTAAGTAATGCTATCGTTTTTTAAGGCTTCGACAGTTAGTTATAATTAATGTTATTTATATTTATTATGTATTTTCTTGTAATAAGTATATCTATCATTGAAATGCTAAAACTTTATAATCTCATTACAATTACTATTAACGTTAAACGATATTTTTTATATAATTATAGCGGCTCGCGGATATTTTTCTGTATGACGTTTTCTTTATTTACTTTATGGCTTTGTCGTTAGTACGTACAATTTGGTAATATAATAAAAAATATTAAGAAATTAATTAACATTATGGAATTTATGTGAAAGATTATTATATGAAATTAACTACAAATTTTCTTAACATATATAGTGAACAATAGATAATATATATGAACATTTTCCAAATACAAGCAAATAAGAATTTTTACTTAAATCTTAAAAAAAAAATACACACACATATATATAATTAAAACGTTATCAACAAAAAATTGTGATAAATTAATTTGTGTGAAAAATCATCTATACGTACGCTTGAAAGTATTTTATAATATTATATTTATAATAGTATATATTGAAAATTTCATCATTAGAAGTAAATAAATACTTCATTTACGCGTACATCTAAAATACGTCATCGTATCAATTTTTTTCTATAGTTTAATATTTCCTACTTTAATTCTCATTCAATCGCATTTATTTTATCATTATTAATTAACGTACATCCGAAATAATAAGATAATTTACAATATAGTGCAGGCTGCATCTCAAAATTACGAGTTATTAATTAATATACCATAATGTGCAGTTATTTAATAATTACAATTAGTTTTAACTTGTACGTTAATACTTAAAATATATTATTTAACTAATTGAAACTTTTAATAATTCTCTTCCATTCAAATTATCTTCGAATTTAACAACTATTACTCCCAGCGCAATTAAGAATCATTTCTAATACAGGATTACTGCTATAAATTTTACACATTTAAGTCCATTCGCAATCCAGCGATTTTTCACATATTTTAACATAATAGTGGTTCCTTGAGTAGTCAAATATCATTCGTATGTTATATCAATATAGAAAGAAAATTAATAAATAAGAAGAAGAGGTGGGGGTAGGGGAAG